GAAGTTTCTGGTCATGCTCATGAGGTTTCCGGCCAAGCTCGTGAAGTTTTTGGCCAAGACGCCAGGAAGTTCATGAGGATTCTAGAAGCTTCCTGAAGTTTCCGAGGAAGGTCTCGGGGACCTATGATGAAGGTCCTGAGGAGTCTTGCTCCCCGCCAATGTGCGGACCTTGCGAGGAGGTCTTTGCCGAAGTGTTTCCCTATGTTTACGGGGATCTTCTCATGCGAGGAGTCTCTATGTCGAGGAGGATCGTCGTCTCACGTCGGAGGAAGCTTCTTCGTGGAAGAGTCTCTGTCGAGGAGGGGATCTTCTACTCTGCATCAAGGAGGATCTGTCCAGGGGCTCCTCGTCCCTCCCTTCTCCCTTTCACTTGATTTGCGGTGGAAGGCTGGATTTGATCTTGGAAGTCGAATTCGCCGTTTTCCTCTGGTTTTCAGATAAAATGGTCGTAAGGATTGAGGGTGTCATTCATATCAACAAAGAATCCAATTCTGACACGCCCATCGAGGACGTTGGAGCCAAACGCGTTCGTGCACCCAAGGATTGGGTCAGACAGAAACTGCTTAACATCGTGTCGCATTTCGCCTCTGACAACACGGACGCTTTTGCCACTGTCGAGGACCATCTCGAGGGTTCCATCCCGAGATGGATGGTTCCTCCATGAGATGAGGTTCCCGATGTATAAATTTGTGTTTCGGGAAGTGGAAACCTGTCTCCCCTTCAGTGATTTTTAGGGGAGAGTGTTCAAGTGGCTTCGCTTGGCACCTTCGCAACTTCACCCTAATATGATTGTGTTCCTACGAGCGTTTGAACTTGTCTATGAGCATCTTGGTGTTGGAACCACACTCCCCTTGTTCTTCCGCACTTTCTACCTATAGCGTCAATCCTTCCAAGGTCGGCATAGTCGAGTATCCTTGAAGCAGCCGAGAAAGTTGTTCCAGGCGTATCAGGATTCTGTCTGCACCTTCAAGGACAGGTTTTATGTTGTGAAGCCCGTATCACATACGGTCGTCGATTCCATGTACGACCTTGTGGTCAAAGAGGAGAACGGGCAGCGTGAGGAGAAATTGGTGTCGAAGTTTTCGCTCGAGTGGGTTGAGGACCACTTCAATAGGGGCCTGGACAGCTATATCGTGAAGCACAATGACCTAGATGTCGACGACCAGCTATCTTACAAAAAGATAGTTGAATTTGTCTTTGGTTTTACTCCCGCCAAATGCGTCCACAAGGATGGGAGTTTCATTCTCGACGACCGCGGAGAGGTTTATCACGGTGCTCAATTGATTAACACCAAGGCTCTCCTCAAGTGTGGGTCTCGTGAGGAGACCTTGAGGTTTTTAGGTAATGAATCTTTTCTTTGTTGTGGCGTCTGTCTTTTTCCCTTTTGGACTGACTTGACTTTATTTGTTCATTGTCGCAGGCCAGATGTCGAACGCGCAGGAACGTGTAATGAAGCTTGCGGAGACCAAAGGCGGGAAGAAGGCCAAAGGTAGAGTCTCTCAGGTCCAACAGATGCTGAGGCCTGACCAAGGAATTGGTGGTTCCTCCTCCCCCCAATGCAGCCAATCTCCTCCCATGCAAGAGAGTTCATCCAAAAGGCAACGCACTGAGGAACCTGTGCTCGTCGACCTCGAGGAGAGCGCACCTTGGAGAAGTTTGTGCTACCCCTTGCCACATCCATCGGGACCTCTTCTCCGGGGACCATTCCCCGATTGTGGCTGAGGCTGAAACTAATGTGATCATGGGGATCAACCGAGCGGCCCGAAGGAAGGCGTTGACCGAGGATATGTCCGCCATGATAAGGATCTTTGATACGTCCTTGGTCCTCAATGATGAAACCATCCCGACCTATGAGCTGAAAAAGCTACGAGACGAGAACGATGTCCTTGAGGCGGAGAAAAACAAGGCAGATTGCGATCTACAAGAGGCTCAGACGAGGTACGAAGCTCATGTGTGCCTTCTCCATGAGATGAACGAAATGCGAAAAGAGCTGGAGGAAATCAAGGAGGAGCGGGGTTGATTGCTGACCAAGGTGAATGAGCTGGAGGCCAATGCGAAGCCTGTTGAGGATGAAACAGAGGAGGAAAAAGCTCTTGCGGCCCGCAGCACCATGGTTGGTCGGATCCAGGAGCTCGAACAGGACTGCTTGAGAGCTCTCGAGGTGGGGTTCAACAATGCTTTAGAGCATGTCCTGATCATGAATCTTGGGGCTCATCTTGTCCTCGAGGGGATTGGGTCTTTCCACCAGATGGTTGATGGTAGGGTGGTCGTCCCCGAGGCATCCGACGATGGAACTGGTTAGAGTGATGGGGGACCCAGCCCGAGGAAGAAGCCGTTGTTTGAATCTTTTCTTCTTTTAGTTATTTGTCTTGCGCGTCATTTAAATTGTTTTGTCCGACCTGCGTGTCATGGTTAGTAGCTTATTTTTCCCGGCCTGCGTGTTGGTTAGTAGCTTATTTTTCCCGGCCTGCATGCCAGGGACTTTAACTTGTAATTTTTAAACATTGGGCTCTGCCCACATTTTGGAAATGTAGTATTTCACTTTGATGTTGTGTGTGCCTTATTTTTCTTGTTTTTCATATATGCATGAAATAGCATTGTTGTTTGCATGTCATCAGGGTTTTGCTCGACACATATTATGACCGACCATGCAAGGAACGAGTCGGGTGATGGAGTTGGCATTCGATCGACGACGGAGCAAAGATCTTGGTCGAGGTCTTTGCTTCATGGCGTGAACTTCCCATCGCGAGCTGGGTGTTCTGCCTTACTGGTATGACAACGGTGGAGCTCGATTGAGGGGTCCCCATTGGATCAAGAGTCTGCTTGCACACACAAAGGGCGGACTCTTTTCTTTTTGTTTTGAATTTAGGAGTCGCGTCTTTACCCTTTCGCGCACCTGTGTTCGCGACACTAGTAGGTCGCTGGCAGTGTCTAACTATAGTATTGTTTGAGCCTTTCAGCGTTCCATGGTCGAGCAAGTTCCTCCCCGTGTAGGTTTTCGAGGTAATAGGCCCTATTGCCCGTTTTGTCTCGGACCCGGTAGGGACCTTCCCAGTTTACGGCGAGTTTTCCCTCGCGCGAGCCCTTCTGATTCCTTCGTAGGACCAGACTGCCTACCTGGAACTCGCGCTTGATGACTTTGCTGTCATGCCGCAAAGTTATCTTTTGTTCAGCAAGACTTCACGGAGGGATGCCCCCGACCAAATTTCCTCGACCAGGTCGAGTTCCTTCCTCAGGGCCTCGTCGTTCGCTTCCTCGTCGATGGAAGATTCGGTTCTCCTATAGGGCTCCCTTATTTCTATTGGAATCACAGCCTCAGTCCCGTAGGTTATTCGGAACGGGGTCTCCCCTGTCGTCGAGTGCGGGTCGTCCTGTAGGCCCATAACATGTTGTGTAGCTCTTCGACCCACCTCTTCTTGGCGTCTCTTAGTCTTTGTTGTAGGCCACGCATAATCACTATGTTCGCGACTTCAGTCTTCTCGTTTGTCTGCGGGTGCTCGACCGACGTGAAGTGTTGCCTCGTGCCCAGCTTGGTAACGAAGTCCTGGAAGTCCTTGCCGGTGAATTGAGTCCTGTTGTCAGTGACGATTGTTTGGGGTACGCCGAATCGGGCAAGTATATTCCTTTTGAAGAAACAGAGTATGTTTTATGCTGTGATTTTGGCTAAGGCTTCGGCCTCTATCCACTTAGTGAAGTAGTCGACGCCGACTATCAAATACTTGTTTTGGTATGACCCTATAGTAAAGGGTCTGAGGATGTTCATCCCCCACCAAAAAAACGGCCATAAGGATCAATGATCTGCCACGCGTCGTGAGCTCCTGTGTTCACCAGTGTTGAAGAGGAGGAGGGGGTGTACCTGCAAGGTACTCTGATGTTAAAGTGAGTAAAGGAGTTAGAGAGTGCAAGTACAGAAAAAAGGTGTAGAAAATAGAATACATGGCCCTATAGTAAAAGAGAGTATTTATAGTGTGCCTCCAGCGCTGGGTCAACGGTTACATTGCATTGGGCTGGATTGTCAGGCCCAACACAAGTAACTGTCAGGGTCTACGTGGTGTAGGAAAGACCAGCACGTGATCTTCACCCTAGTCCAACTGTCATGTGATCCTCGGAAGGTGGAAGACTGGTTCTTTGAGACACGGTTAGTTGTCTGATGACGTGTCCCCGCGTGAGGAACACGTGGAGAACGTGGAGAAGACACGTGGACTCTTCCCGTACTAGGTAGTGGTCTGCCCGACAGTAGAGCATATCTGACAGGGAGGAGGATTGGGCCTTACTGAACCTCCCCGATATGATATTGAGTTAAGTCTGCCCGACTATGGAACAGGTACTGGTTCAGTACAGATTACAGAACAATAATTTTTTGAAATATTTTTAAAATGAATTGACTTGCTGTTTTTTATTTTTTATTATGGTTTTACTTGTAACTTTACTTACAAATTTAGCCAACCAAAATCTCTAATAAATTAATAACTTTTGGAGATCATGGAAGCAAATACATTCTTATTGAAATGTTTATTTTCATTCTGAAACCTAGCAAACTTCCGTTTGATTACAGTTTCATAACTATCTCAACTCCAATATAACATCTTTTAAGTGATTACTTTTTTCAACCAAAAAAAAGTGCTTATATATTTCATATCTCTAGTTTCTTTTATTGGTTTTCAACTTGAACCTAAAACTAAAATAATGAAATATGCTCTTAAGAAATTGAAATGTGATAAAAAAAATCATTACCAAATACCAATAATACTAACAACTGAGGAGTTGTTTTAACCAAAACACACATAACAAACATAACAACAACTCCAATAAGATTCTTTTCCATAACCAAATATTCTATCAACTCCACTTATTCAAGATTGATTACACATAACACACTCTATAGTTATATCTGTATTTATCTATATATAACATCACAGTCACAAATATACTTCAACAACAATAACAACAATATCGCATTCTATCGAGATTGTAACAAAACTGATTCAACTGAACAAAAAATGGCCAATATTTTCTTACAGAATCCTAACACATGGAAAACTACTCTTTGTATCTTCCTCCTAACCACGACCTTTTTGGTTGCGTACTCCGCAAGAATCCTAGATGAACTTGACTCTCAACCACAAGCTATAAGTAATCTACCTGGACCTGGTGCTGCTGCTGATGCTGGCGCTGCCATTCCTTCTGGTGCTGCTGGCGCTAGCGTTAGTGCTGCCATTCCTTCTGGTGCTGGCGTTGGCGCTGCCATTCCTTCTGCTACAGCCATACCTCAAGTAGGCCCTATTACCGCTTCGCCAAGTGGCATAACACCTGCAGCCACAAACATTGACACTGTGACACCGGGATCCGGTGAAGTAGATCCCAATGCAGACCCTTCAGAGAATGAACTAGCACCAGCTGAGGATATCGCTCCAGTTGGAAGTCCTACTACAGACGAAACACCAGAAGAACTTCCTCAACCAGAAGCTGAAGCGCCACTCCCGGTGGTGACAGCCAAGCCTGTGGCAAAAGAGCCGTCGTTGTCTTTCTTCATGCATGATATTCTTGGTGGATCACATCCATCGGCGCGAGTGGTAGCGGGAATTGTAGCAAACACTGATGTAACCGGCTTACCGTTCTCCAAGCTCAACAACAATCTCTTCCCGATCACCGGAGGAATTCCATTAGTTAACCCGAAACTCAACGGCATTGTCACGAGCAACAATCTACCTAACCTCGTAGGCCTCAACGCCGCACAATCTTCAACTGTATTCAAAAACAGTGGCACCAGCAACACTGTCTCCGGCGGAAACAACCAGCCGTTTGTTTCCGCGGGAAATCTACCTGGCGGATTCACAATCCAGAAGCTCATGTTTGGTTCTGCAACGGTGATCGACGATCAGTTAACAGAAGAGCATGAGCTTGATTCTTCTGTGATTGGTAGAGCACAAGGCTTTTACTTGGCAAGTTCGTTGGACGGTACTAGTAAGACGATTGTTCTTACTGTTTTGGTGCATGGTGAGCAGCATCATGATGGAGTTGATGACACTATAAGCCTGTTTGGGATTCACAGGACAGCGTCGCTGGAATCTGAGGTAGCGGTGATTGGTGGGACTGGAAAGTTTGAGAATGCTAGAGGATATGCTGCAGTTGAGACACTTTTGAAGGAGGATCAACATACAACAGATGGAGCTGACACCATTCTGCATTTCAATATCTATCTCACTGAGTAGTGATTACCTGTGATTCGGCTTTCGGCTTTCGTATTTGATGTTTGGTTTGTGTTTGCTTAAAATTGTCAGTCCTTTAAAGTTATATGGTGTGAGAAAATTGTGTTGTAAATTTGTAATACAATGTTGCAAAGTCCAAAGTTTCCTATCTTGTGAATCATTGTTATGGAAATACTGGTTCATAATCATTTAACATTTGATGGTAAAATCGTAGCTATTATTGGTATATAATGAACATACTGAAATAATTAAGAGTAGCAGAGTTCAAATTGATGCAACTATACAAGAGACAATATCTCAAAAAAGAAAATACACAAATGACTAAACTATTGGAGGAAACTATCAATAAATTATAATCAATACATAACAATGGTTATTACAAATACTACTACTATGCTTGATCATATATGAATGTGTCATTTCCAAAATGCTTTTTATATGTGTTTTGGTTGGCCAGAGTCCCAATAATAAAAAAGCCCAATCAACAGTTAAAGTCATAAGATGTTAAGGTACAATGTACCTGCAACTTCCAGACCCATATTCGATCCACACCACGAATCATCATTTGTCGTTAGATGTCATCCATCAGTTCTCCGTATACCACTCCAAAAAATAAGATCTCTAACTGTCACTCATATATAATCAATCCCACACAAGATCTCTAACTATAACTTACTCTGACACTACTTTTCATTTATGAATTGATTTGAGCGTTGAAGTAATAATGTTGCAAGTCCACCTCCCCCTTTGCCACATCAAAAATTTACTTCACTAAATAAAAACATACTTCACTGAATCAAAACAAACATCGTTACACATTTTTGGATCCACCACATAACAATATGTATTAACAAACCACTTTTTAAATGATCCTTTAATATAGTCGGATGTGACCTTAATCGCTTTTATTATCTTTCAAACTCATAAGTGGAATGTCTTGCCTAGGAGTGGCAAACGGGCATTGCCCGCCCCGTTTAAGTCCGCCCATCAAAAACCTACAAAAAAGGTATGCAGACATAATTAAGGGTGCAGGCTTAAAATTTAAGTCCATCTCAAAAAAATGAGGGTGTAGTAAGGCGGACTAGCATGCACCGCACCTTTTAATCCTACTGTAAAAAAAAAATTAGGTTAATGTCAGCGTTTGTAAAAAGGTGGAACGAGACGGAACAGACACATTAAAAGGTGTGGGTCTAAAACTTTAACCTACTCTGAAAAAAATACGGACAAAACAGACATATCCGGCGAGTCGGATCCATTTTGCCACCCCTGCCATATAATCCCCTCTCACTATACATGCTCAATTAGATAACTCAAGTCTTCTCAAAGTTCAAAAGTGTGTTCCTATTTTTTTCAAATTATCAAATTTACATTATGAGTCCTATCGAGGAGAGAAAAACATGTGTAATTGATTTTTCGATTAAGTCAGTAAACGAGCTTTTTCCCCTTTGTTTTTACTTTAGTTAGATGTTTGGGACTTTTCTCATACTATCTTCACTTTTAAGGCCAAACTTTTATTTTTATTGATGTTTATATTCTGTTATGTATAATTTTTAATGAAAAGGTGATCTGAATTATTCTCTATTTGTGAGCAATTTTATTGTGAAATCAAAACTCAATTTGGTGTCTATTCACTTTGCATAGTGATAATGCTAGAAAACATTTGTTCCACTAATTTTAGAATTATAGACCTCCAATGGCATTTAACACAAAACTTCATGTGCTCATACACCTCAATAAAATAGATTAGTCGAACACAAAAATTGACTTTTCACTTAGACCACTTTGGACATTTCACACATTTGAATCAAACTTGTCTTAAACAAGCATAACATTTTCCTCTAAGTCACCATTAAGGCTTTTCACATCAACTTCCTTGAGTGGCCAATCTAATTTCAGCCAAGGATAAGAAAACTCAGTGTGTTTGATTTAGCAACATGAGCTGCAATAGTCTCTAAATTTGACTAGTACACTTTGAAAAGATATGTTTAGTATTATAAGAACATCTATGTCAAAAGACTAAGAATGACTCTTAAGATCAGAAGAGGACTTACCTGTGTCAGGAAGTTGAGTTGGAATAACTAAGTTGTTTTCTTATTATAATTGCTACTCTACATTTTTGGACTGTTTACTTTTTATTACACATTGGTTTTTAGTAGTATTGACAGTTATATAAAGAAAATAACTTAAAGATAATCTTTGTATAGATAAAAGAGAATGAAAAAGGAGAAGGAAGAGAGATAAGATAGATCAAAAATATATTATTTTAGCAAAATGAAAAACTTGTATAGTGTTGAAAATTAAAATTTCTATGAAAAGAATAGTATACACAAAAAAAAATATCATTCTTAAATCTACTCATCCAAGAGCCAAATTTGACATTTGACATGAGGTAACTTTCTTTGACAATTCACAATCTAGTGATTTAATTTTTGTATGATCATGAACCAAAATTCAACTCGGTACATTATAAGAATTGTGCTCTTACTCATGATCTGTTTTGACACCCTTACTCATGACTGAACATGTAAAGCGTGAATATAAATAGTGGGTGATCTGATAACGAAAAACATATGATAGGTGGTCCAACATATTTAAGATAGACTTTGTCATCTTAGAATGTGTGGATTTTCTCCTTCCATCTATTTCCATGGGTTAGCACATTCTATAGTTGCCTCCTCCTTTTTCTCAACATGTTTTCAGCTCTTTGGGCACCATCACCGTCACCTCAGCAACCATTTAACTATTGCTGTGAGATATTAGAATATGAAATGTCTTACAATATCTTTGATATTAAGTTCTAAAAAATTCTAAGATAAGTTTTTAATAGTATTTTCGATAAGTCCAATACAAACAGAATATATTATGTATGTAGTTTAAAATCATGATTTGTTTCCCAATTTTCTTATTTATTTAGGATTAAGAGTCATGTATCTCAATAAATAGAGAATAGTATCCTGCATTGAGCTTGTATCAAGTCATTATTTCTCTACATATATCTAAAATAAAGCCCCATAACATCAACATCTACGAATGCCATGCCATGCAAGCTACTATATAAAAACATTGAGAACGACATCAACCTTAAATTTTAAAGTTGTGTAAGCTGATGACCATATTTAGTTAGAAACGCCATTCTATTGTGGTCTGTGAGAATAACTAGAGTAATGTAAGCTGCCATAACAACCTATGGATGAAGGAGTTCAATTGCGCATAAAAGAAATTTTTGACATTGCACTTTGTAAAAGTCAAATTATTTTTCTAATTTTACTTTGGTCTCTATCCTTGACTAAAGATGTAAAAGACACCAAATAATTCAAAATAGTCATTAAAGCTATCTAAGTGAGTCTTGAAGATTCATAAGAGTGGAATACTTAAATCCTAAGATAGAAAGCATGTGACAAGAATTCTAACATTATAGTAAACAATATCCAAAAAGAGTCTGTTAATGACACTAAGGAAAAGACACCAACTCTTGTTTGATGGTGAAGATTTGAAACTGGAGTGTGTTCCTTTTAAAATCTCAAATTTGAATTATACTAAGTGCTAAAAAGCTCATTATTGACCCGTTAGGCAGAAAATGAGATCAAGGGACTCAGAACTAACACCTCATGAATGAAGATGGTTATGATCTTGTGATATATACCAATTGATTGTTTAGTACTCAGGTCTTGTATAAAGGAAGTTAAAATTAAAAGTTATGGAACAATTGAGGTAACATAAAAGTTGAAGGGGTAGTCGAGTACAAATAAGACTATATTGAAATAGTGGAGGAGTGAAGCTTGATCAATACCAAAAAAATGCAATATGGTGAGGTGTTTTGGAGTCTTTACTAAGAACTATATGCTAAGAAGCATTGTAGTCTTAATTGCAATCTAATATCTCGTGTATGGTAAAATAGGAAAACAATATATATTTACAAGTAAGTTTGTGCCTTGTGCCACAGGCATCTATGCCCCGTATGGATTCGTTTCACAAAAAACGGAGTAGAGCGGGACGGATATTATTGAAGGCGCGATCTTAAAACCTTACTCTGTCCTGCAAAATATGAGAGTGGGTGGGGACAGCTCCGCGGACACTACACCTCTAACGCCTAAAAAATTACAAAAAATTATATCAATATTTACGCCCGTAAAAAGACGTGGCAGAAAGAGACAGACATATTAGAAGTTACATGTCTAAAATTTTAATCCGCCACAAAAAAAAAATCTAGACATATTAGATGAGTAGTATCTGTAATGCCACCTTACATATGAACATGAAAAGCTATGAACTCAACTTACATACACACATTTACATACAGAGAATTTTTTTAAGGGGGATTTCAAAAACTACTAAACCTATCAAAAAAATATATCAAGGATAACAAAGGGAAAGAAAAAGTAATAATTATAATAACAAATCTAAAAAAACATAGACACCATATGATATACAATGACAGTGTTATCTATGGCCCAAAGCAGCTCATGGTTGAGAATCAAAATTTCAACATATAGACCACTTTACACAGCCGTTCTAGTGGATTATAGCAGAAAAAATCCGCAATATCGACGACTGATATTTACCGTTACTGCGAGCTTAAAAACCATCATGTACATCTGTCATAAGCGCCGCAATTTGATAACTATAGAAATATGCTTTTTCTATTATTATTTTTCTGTAACATAGTACATGAGTATTTATAGAATATAAATTACACTAAGAAATAGGGGTAATTATTCTCCCTATAAATGCTAATCCTAAATAAGGTAAGAATATAATAATACAATTAATTTCTATTTAATCACAATTTGAATCCAGCCATAATGAGCTGTATGACAGAATCTGTTTTGATTTTGTGCTAATATTCAACACTCCCCCTCAAGCTGGCATGAATATATCGTTCATAGCAAGCTTGCACACCATGTTATCAAACAGTCTCTTTGGAAGACTCTTTGTGAGAACATCTGCTACTTGACTTTTGGTAGGTATGTAGGACATACAAATCTCACCGCTGTCAATTTTTT